CTGATTTGTTGGCCGTTGCAATTCTGAACCCCGCAGGACTTGTTGAAAAGATTGAAATCTGTTGGGGATTAAAATGCCTTTATTACTGCACCAGTTCTTGAACAAAGCCGTACCTCATTTTTCAGTATCTTCATGAAAAGCAAAGCTACTGTCGGTTAGGAATCGCCTTCTTCTTTGTGGAAGAGACTCCTGGAATGCTGGTTCTGAATTCATCGGTCAGGAAAAGTGAATGTTTGGGAATTGACGTGTTGTGCGCTTTTGTGGTTGAACATGCAATTTGCAGGGGAGCCATCTGTACCGACATCACCGCACAATCTTCAGATCAGCCCTCGTGATGCATCCAGCGTTGAGCTTCGTTGGCTACCACCTCTAAGCTCCGTGCACATCCCCTTTTATCAGGCACCGTTTTAATTCCATCGTTGAACCTGTTTTATTTAAAACAAACCCGTCCCTCCCACGACTTATTTTGTTTTTATAATTGAAATTTCTGCCTTTGCACTTTCCAAACTTTTTACAAAATAGCTGGAAATTCATACTTGCCTTGATACTTTGATCACTTGCAATTCACTGAATGGTTCTTCGGGTGTGGCAGCTTTTGATTTGCCCTGATCAGCGCTATATTGTCTGGTGGTCAATCTGTGGATGATCCTGGAATTCTTTTTGCCGTCTGAAAGGGGCACCAGCTCAGTACCTCTCCCGACAGAAGCCCTCAGCAAGGCTTCAGCCGTGCCGTGATGTCACTGGTGTCTGTTGAACATCACTATCTCATTTCGGATGCTGGAGTGATCCAAAGCTAAGCTAACTATTCGGAACCTAAAATACGGCAAAACTGTCTGTAAGGAAATGCTACTAAAACAGGCCAAAAATTAAGATCTGTTTTCGAATAAGAACAAAATGCCTAAATACTTTTTAAAAAAATCGTTTATTTGAAAGGCTTCTACATCCAATATTTTTTTTTTAAATTTTTTAAGACTTTACGGAAAAAACCAGTACCCATGCTTCAATCAGAAAACTGAAATTCATCATAATCAGCTCGACGTAGTTTAGATCGATATAGAAGATCTGTATACACGCAAAATGCGAACCGAGCAGGTACCCGGAACATTTTTCTCACATATCATTAGCCAGCTATCGCCGTATTCGATCTATAACATCTCCGTACGTGCGGGCACCGACTACGGTGAACTGGGATTACCGTCTTCCAAAGTTATTTCCCTTCAACAGTACATGGGTAACGTAATACCTGAACTGCCAATACGTACTGCGGATCTGGAGAAAGACCGAGCGGAACAGGAGGAACAACGAAGAAGGCAAGAACAGGAGCGCGAACGAGAACGACAGAGGATCGAACAGGAACGTGAAAGGATT